TTTGTGAATATAGTTATGTTTATATGTATACATTTACATTTAAAAGCTGATTTAGTTGTGCCGCAAACAATCAACAGACGCATGTTAACTTATGAAAAACAGTGCCTAAGGAGCATTAGTATTAATATGTATAATCGATAGAGAAAAAAAATATGAAATATTCTCCTTCAAATGTGAAGCTAACATGCTTCACTTATTTCTATATATATCTCTATCTTCTAATGATAATTTTCAGTTAAGGTAACATTTTTGTTTTATATAGTACCTTTCTCTCTTTACGATCATTTTCATTTAAGTTTGTTAACATAAAAATATTAGTCTCCTGTTCAAAATAATTTATAATTTCGAAAAACATCGAAAACATAGTATCAATTTTTTCCATTGTTTTTAAACAAAACTTGCAAGTTTTCAGGATAGTTGTGAATTACCTCTAAGACAATGATATATAGAAATTTATATCGCATAAAGTACATTTCTGGAAAAGTTACCTAAAGGCAAGTGCCAGGAGTCGATCAGAAAACAAGAAAAAAAATTGTTTTACTTTTTTTCGTTAACCCATTAGTATTTTCTGCAATGTAAACCAGTTTTTTTTTTTTTGTAATTAGATGAAGTATGTTTGTATACATTAAAGTATTATTAATATTTTAGTAAAAAAACAAAAAAAATAAAACTAGAACTTATTTTAGTTTTAAATTAAAATGACGATTTATTTAAATTTGGTTATACATTGTGACCGAAAAGTTTTCGGAAATTCTCATTTAAAATTCGCGCGCTGTATATTTTTCGATATTTTAAGTTTATTGTAGTTGGCAGCACTGTCCTTAATTACCTATGCCAAAAGGCAAGCGCTGATCTGTCCAGACAGTTCGTTTTACGGCAGCTGTTGAAAACCAGTTCAACCTCAGTAGTGCGTTGCGAAAAAAACAATGGAAAAAAATATTGATCAAAGAGTTTGCATCAAATTTTGTGTTTCGAACGAATTTTCGTGTGCAGAATCGTTGCGAATGCTACAAAAGGCTTATGGGGAATCAGTTTTATCGAAAACTCAAGTTTATGAGTGGTACAAAGCCTTTCAGGACTGTCGTACGACCGTCGAAGACATGCCGCGTTCTGGACGACCTTCGACCTCTACCACCGACGAAAACATTGAAAAGGCAAAGGAAATCGTGTTCAAAAATCCTCATGTGAGTGTTAGAGAGATAGCACGAGAGCTAGGCATCGGTCGTGAGATGGCTCGTTTGATTTTGGTGGACAATTTGTGTATGCGACGTGTCAACGCTCGGCTTTTTCCGATTCACCTCAATTTGTTCCAAAAACACCATCGTGGACAGGTCTCGTTAGACATGCTTGATCGTGCCAATTCCGATCCAACTTTCATGGAACGCATCATAACGGGTGACGAGACATGGGTCTACGAGTACGACATGCAAACAAGCCAACAATCATCGGAATGGAGAGGAAAAGACGAGCCGAAACCGAAAAAACCACGCCAAAGTCGCTCGAAAATCAAGGCAATGCTGATTGTTTTCTTCGATATTCGTGGTGTGGTGCATCATGAATTCGTCCCTGAAGGACAAACAGTCAATAAAGCCTATTATTTGACTGTTTTAAGACGTTTGCGTGAAAATATCCGCCGTAAACGGCCTCAATTGTGGAAGGATAATTCATGGATTTTTCATGACGATAATGCTCCCTCGCACCGAGCCAACATTATCAACGATTTTAAGGCCAAACATTCAATAAATACCATCGAACAGCCCCCGTATTCACCTGATCTTGCACCGTGTGACTTTTTCCTGTTTCCCAAACTCAAATTACCACTCAGAGGAACGCGTTTTGAATCCATAGAAGACGTAAAACAGAATTCGCAGAGGAAACTCAAAGCCATACCGGAAAGCGCCTATAAAAAATGTTTTGATGATTGGAAGAAACGTTGGCATTTGTGTATCGCTTCTAATGGAGCATATTTTGAAGGAGATAAAATAAATATTGATGAAGATTAAGAATTTTGCGTTTTATTTAAAATTTCCGGAAACTTTTCGGTCACCCATGTAGATGGGTTAATATTTAAAAACTATAATTTAATAATATATACTATCGTTTTTAACTTCGTCTATGTCTCCTTATTATTAAATAAAACAAAAATTAAGTTTAAATTATGTTCACGTTTAAATAAAATTATATTTTTAATGAAGAATGTTTGTTTAATCAGGACTTCATCATGTTATAAATTTAATAATAAATTACTTAATGATAATTTAAAGTAGTTGATCTCTTAATTAAGTAAATTTATTATTTATATAAATGCAAAACTCGGTGAGAGCTCATTAAAGATATTAATAAGTTTCTGCTGTAATGTTTTTATATTTTTAACATAAATAATAGAAAAAAGAAAAGCAGTAAATTCCTTACGAACGCACAAATCTATAATTTTTTGTATTTTTTTGGAATTAAAAAACTTTAAAAATATTTTTTAAAAATTTTGTGTTTATCATTTTGGTGCTAAATGAAAATTTGCGTGCAAATTTTATATTTTGTGTTAAAAAAAGAAAATTGTTGCAATAGAATTTAAAATCGCTTCCATACATTTAATCCGATTTATTCAACGATAGTTTATTTTTGGAAATATTTTTTTAAACAAAATTTTATTGCAGAAATTGTAATTGAGAAATACTTTTAATTGCCATATTTAATTATTTGCAAGTTTTATTACGTTTTTACAGTAATTATTAACAATATTTAACTGATAATAAATATTATACAACATTTTATTAATAATTTATAAAAAAAATATTATTTTAAAAATTATTATAATTTTTTTATGCAAATTATATGTATGTGTTTTTAGCTTAAAACTAAGTACTCTGCCAATTAAAAATCGGAGATTTTTTTATGTAAGATTTTATTTAATTTTTTTATATAAATTAATTTTTTTTATTTATCAATTTATTGATATAAACACAAATATATTATTGCAAAGTAAAATAATAATAAAAATGTTATTTTACATAACATTGAATTAATTGTGTTTATTATAAATTATACATAAACAAAGTATGAAAAATAAAATTAAAAGATTGTATACCGAAAATATATATTTTGTATTCGTTTTATTTGAAGATAATACTACAGGTAGTTAATGGTTCTAAATGCGTACGAATAAATGTCTCAGAGCCACTCGTCTCAACGACTGACCGACCCTGTAGCGCTTACACTTTCCATCCATCATGGACTCAAAATGACGGTAATACTATTTGGATTAGAAAAGTTTTTACTGATCTATGGTATAAAACAAAATTCAGATTGTAAATCGAAAAAGCACAATTTCTGGAAAATTAAAATTGTAGACAGATAAAATAGATAAAAAACAACTCAATTCAAAGTCACTCATATGTACCGATGATCATGTGTCGCCCACCTACACCATAAACGACTCAAAAGGGCTGGTCGCCTTTCTGGGAAACGACAATAATTTATTTGGGTTACATCAGCATGAGGACCATATAAGGAATCTAATTAATTGCTTATATTAAAGAAGTTTAACTAAATAGAGAAATCGTTTTAGAAACAAGCGTTTTGGATCATGGACCCAAAATGACGGTAATACTATTTGGGCCACAAATGTTTTTACTAATCTATGGTATTAAACAAAATTCAGATTGTAAATCGAAAGAGCACAATTTCTGGAAAATTAGAATTGTAGACAGATAAAATAGATAAAAAACAACTCAATCCAAAGTCACTCATAAGTATCGATGATCATGTGTCGCTCACCTATACCATGAAGGACCCAGAAGGGTTGGCCGCCTTTCTGGGAAACGACAATAATTTATTTGGGAATAACAGCTACAATTATTATATTATTTGGAGAGTAACTTTATGTTTTCATAAAAGAAAGTTTATTGGATTAACTTTAACAATATTTTTAAATACTTGTTTTATTAAAGTGTAAAAGATTTTTATTTATTGAATTTTGAAGCGATCTGATAACAAAGAAGGAAGCACCAAGGTACAAAAATAAATATTAATAGATTTATAACCATAATATTGTCCACAATTTGATATTACCATCGTTTGCATTGTTTAAGTACTAAAAATATACTAGAACTATTATAGACTTCTGAAGAGTGAAGTAAATAACTTAGAAAATTGTAAAAATCTTTATACAACCCTTTTATATTTTTTATGAATATTACATTCTGAAAGTTCAGGCAAAAGGTCAGCTATTTATTTAGGAACCAAAGCGCGTATTATTCATGGGATTTTTTGTCGAACTTTTTTGTGAAATGCGAAATATGTGCCAAATCTGATGTGAAAAAGCAACATTAGAAAGTTTGACATAAAAGTTGGATGAAAATCAAAAACTTTGATATTTTCACAAAATTGGTTTTGTTTTGTCGTATACAATCGGATTTTTGACGACTTATATTTAAAATTTCATTCATTCACTATATATAAGGATGGAAGGAATGGAAAGCATCGTTTAAATGCATGCATGTAGTAAATTTGTTGTTAATAATAATAATATGAAGGGAATAAAATACCAGTTGAGATGTTAAGATTTCTCCACCCAGTCCCAGGTTAGCTTCACTCATCCCTACCCATACCTCAACTTTACTCCTCTAACTTACTTCATATTATTTTAGCTATCTCATCCGAGGCCTCTGTGCAGTGATTTGTCAACTTTTTATGTACTTGCTTTCAGGTCAGCCTTTGGCTACCACCACAACATTAAAACAATAACTGCAACATCATATCATCGAGAGTTTATGTTTCTTGATATTAATTCATTTGTATCTATAGTAATTAGTCGAGTGATATTTTTAATTCTGTTATTCTTAAATAAAAATCCAAATTTTTCTTT